CAAAAACTTGAGACTTTTACATACAACCATTAAATTGTATTTATGTGGAATTCGGTTTTATTATATCCAATGTAACTGTGACCATCCGTTTGATTATACAAATGAATCGACACTCCATAGACTCAATATGATAATGCGCGCCGTCAAACGTATACAAGGAGAGCATAATCCAAAACCACGTCTTCCTATTACTTTTCAGGTACTTGGGAGAATTTGCAATTCTCTTAGAGTAGGTGTTTTCTCTACCTTTACTGATTGTATGTTAGAAACGGCCTGTACAGTAGCCTTTTTTGGATTTCTTAGATGTGGTGAATTTACAGTTTCTAAACATTTTGATTCTACTGTAAATCTAAGTGTAACGGATGTTGAGATTCTCGATTCTTATGCTATTCTACACCTTAAAACCTCAAAAACAGATCCTTTTCGTAAAGGTGTCAGTATACAGTTTCAAAAATCCGATCATACCATTTGTCTTTTCTCTGTTGTCCAAAAGTATATCGCAATCAGGAAGGGTAGAGAAGCATCTTTTTGTTTTTCAGATCCATTGTTTGTCAAAGAGAATGGTAGTGCTTTAGACAGGGACTTTTTCATCAGAAGTCTAAGACATGTACTAGATATTTGTGGGTACAACTCAAGCTTATACAATGGTCATTCTTTTAGAATTGGTGCCAGTACATCGGCAGGATCTGTTAATATTCAAGATCATCTTATCAAAACTCTTGGTCGGTGGACATGAGGGGCCGGTAACAAGAAATTTTATAAAGAGAGGTCGTAAGTACTGAATTAAGGGGAAGATAAGATAATCCTAAGATCATTCAAAGAGTGTAAATCAAAGCTCCCTCAGGTTGTTCGTAGATCGGTCTTATTTCCCCCTTAATTTGCATCGTAATAGTTTTCATGTTACGAATTCTTAATAATTTTCCGGCGTCTCCGTGTTAGGCTCCTCGCAAAGAAATTAGAATCGCCTCAAATGAATCATACAAAGGTTTTAATGAACGATAAAATGCGCACAATAATCAACTACCCATTTAACGTAAGGAATTCTAACGGTTCATTCTAACAAATAATAGATTTTGTAAAAAGCTTGCCGTATTTTAGCTGATTATGTCGAGATCGGTGGTTTGTGGGTATAGGTTTTTTATTGGAATCTTGCACTCCAAGCAATATGAATATATAGTGTTTTTTATCTCTCCTGGTTCTTGTTTTTAGTTGTAGTATTGGTGGATCAGGGTAATGATGGAAGGAGGAATTATAGTCTCATATGATATAATTTATATTTATATCCAGATAAAATTGCATACTATTGTACTTATATGTATATAAGTCTAAAAATTTGCACAACGGTACTAATATAAGATGATATTCCACAAACATGTTGTTATTAAATCGTGTTGATAAATATATTGGCTAAAGAAAAATAGCCTTCGTCAGTGTCAATAATTTTAACAATACTGATTGTATTTGTAAAATAGCCCAGTAATACAGGTAAGTTTTGGTCTATTGATTTAATCCAAAATCTTGAACATCATAATACAAAACAAAACTCAATACTCAGATATACGTATCTGAGTATATTTACATCCCAAAATGAGTGAAAAATAAAGCTGTTAGTATTTCTTTTTGATGCCGTTTGAATGATGTACATTAAGTTCCTTTATTCAAAAGCTTTCCCGAACCTGTCGCTGGGCATCACTCCAGTGAATGTTCTGTTCAATCACTAGGATTTTCATGCGGTTAAAGTCATCATGTTTGTGACCCGACTGTCTGAAATGCTGAGAAACTGTAAGAAGTGGCTTCTTAGATATATCACTACTATGGCCATTGAGGCGTTTGTGGAAAGGCTGATTTGACTCACCAACATATTGGAGGCCACAAACATTCTAGAATGTAAATAACATTCATACTTTTGCAGGTAACATTGCAAAATATCCTACAGTTATTTTCGGTTGCCTTACTGTGAAAAGTTGATGAGTGGTGCATCTGTAGGCAACATTTGCAGCACTTCTCCCAGTTTCTCAGCATTTCAGACAGTATATATATATATAATAGCTAGAGTAGCAATACAAACACTTTTATCTTTGTTTTTAGGAATGTGATTGTTTACTGTTTATGACAATGGAAGTAGTTTTAAAATGCATACTGTGTCTGGACAGTTATGTAATAGTTTGCGAGGTTACTATAATCAACTTGATAAGAAAAACAAATTATTTACTTTTGAGAATTACTGCTTGACAAAATGGACTACTACAGAAGGCCGTTCAAATATAAGAATATTACATCTTATATGTATAGAAGTGATGAATATCTTATCTGGTTTTTTGTCTTAGAAGAAGCAATTAGTTTTGACGGTACAGGTTACTAATTTCCAGATGTAGTAATACTGTAAGAAGATGTTTTGTTGTAATTGATTTGGAATGAAATATTAATTGCAAATAATTTTCTAGAACATGTTGTCAGCTGGCTTCTTATATCTTTTGATATATTACGTTGTGGTTTGTAATCTTGACAATTTTTTTGTAAGTTCTATAGATGAGAGCTTCATATTGGTATTAGCATTTAGTGCTTTATATTTGGTTGCATGTGTAAGCATATGCTTTTGTTAGTTGGAATATTTATATTTCCATTTCTGATGGCAACCAGTTCATGTTATACATATAGACAGGATTATTAGTAAGCGATAGTTGTTATAGTTTTATTTGTTTATGTTTATTGTCATGATTGATATAGACTATATAGCTTGCTGCTTGGTGGGAGCCAAGGCTTCGTGTTGAAGACCGTACTTCGACCTATAATGGTTTACTTTTACAAATTGTGACTTGGATGGAGAGTTATCTTTGGTACTGATATGACATCCTGTTATATCTGTCTACAAGATTGAAAACACATTTTTTGTAATAAAACATATTTAATTCTATAATATCATATATAACAATTTTTCGGTAAATTGTGCATTTTTCCTTTGATGTGTACTTTCTGATAATGTCAGTATCAGTTGACTGGTCGTGATAAAAAATTATTGGGTCAGTAAGCAATTTACATGCGCGGGTGCACCGCGTAAGGATCTTCTTTCCGCTTTCATTCACAAAATTGCGCGTGATTTTTTTCGCAGAAAGTTTCAGTAAAGTTAGTTTAGCCTTTTTGACATAAATACAGTAGTGTAACGTGTAACCGGGCGGGGACGTTTTAATATGTTTATCCTCAGGTTCGTACCAGTTTCCTGGGATTTGAAGAGCAATTCAAAAATTCTTAAGTCAATAAAAAGTTTATGCTATCACTACCAAATAATAAAACAAATACTACATAAAACGAAGTTCAACACCTATTAACTTAACCCGAACCTGGCAAATTGAAACAGTTTAACAAAACCCTTTCATTCTGATATTAGTTTTAAACCAAATGTTCGAAACTAGGCTGAAACCTAAATGTATGAAACTGGCTGACACCTAAATGTATGAAACTGGCTGAAACCTAAATGTATGAAACTGGGCTGAAACCTAAATGTATGGAACCGGGCTGAAACCTATTAAAACGAATGTATGATAACTATTTCAACTGGTGTAAACTTTCGGCGTATGAAACTTTATTTAAATATATGTATAAAACTGTTGGAATAACAGGGTAGCACTAATGTATGGTTTAACAGCAAACACTCACTGCAATAGTGAGAGATGTGGAACGCAAAACCTTAGCACTAGCCCTGTTTAGACAACTTGTACTGAACCAAAACTTTCCTATCTTTATCCTCTCAGCAGGTTTCAAACACTCCACTTTGTTTGACTTATCCTGCTACTCGTCTTAAACAATTAACTGCCCTACCTTTCTGCTCTACTTCTTACTATCTCTACGGCACAAATGACAACTTGAACTGAATAGCTACCCACTATTTATACTTCGAACGCGGACCTCGAAGAGAGCACCCTAGCAACAACTGTACAGGTAAAGCGTCTTATAGCAACCAAGGATAAAGGGATGATTTGGATACTGTTTTCAACGATAAAAAGATCAAACAGGAAAATTCATAGATAAATCGAAAATACATAACTGTAGATATATTATAACATTCTTAAACTGTAATTTCGTAACACTACCCACGCCTCCGACTTCATGCGTCCTCGCATGAGTTTACAAATTTGTACTCACTAAATCAAAACACAATCAAAACCGTTCTCGTTAACACTAGCTGACACCATACCAAGGTCCTACTTTTAACCTCAATTTTTCCACTCATTCCGCAGAATACCTCTCCCAGCAACTGTTTGTACACCGAGGGTTATACCATGACAACCAACTAATGGCTTTCCTACAACAATCCGTCGGCAAGCGGCGGACCTAGGGGTACCTTAGCCTACTTACAGTTCTGGGGTCCCTGTCAGCCTCTTTCGTTCTAGCATGTTCTTTCTGTTTTGTTAGTTAAGTTTCTATTTTCTAAATATCCTACTTTACTTCACATTTGTACATACAAGCAACTGAGTACTGAACTTATTTCAAATTTTGACCAGATAACCATTTCAAATATTCTATTTTGAATACCACTTGAACAATTGTGTTGCCAAAAACCGGTTTAAAACAATTTTGCCTCACAACAGGCCACTTACGGACCCCTCATTAAGAGTTGTTGTAAAGGGTTCTTTAACGTGCACAGGACGTGGTACTCCCTGAACACGGGACCTCGGATTTAACGTCCCCATCCGACGGACGGACATATACATTTATAACAACAGAAATCAAAAACAAGTTTTATGATACAGTTTTAATATATATGACGCTTCCTGCATTAATAAACAGATATTTATTTCTTATACCATCCAAACTGCCTCATGCTCCTCAACCTTTTCTATCTGGTGACCGTTCTCAACATACTTTGTTACAATCTTCACCATTTTCCTTTCTTTTGCTACGTTGGTTTGTGTGGCCTGTTCTTTTGTAACAAACTTCTGTGTTTTATGATGTGTCATTTCTCCACACGCTTCTTTCTCAACATTGTCTCCTCGTATGAAGGACTAAGACTTTCTCTTTGTTGGTGTCAACACTGGTAATGGGGCACACCTTTTCCTAACTGTAGGGTCACTCTTGTTGTCCTCTGGCGTATTATCTACCTTCTTATTTTCTTTCTTTTGTGATGTTTCTTCTTCAGAATATTCCTTCTCCTCATCATTATCTTTAACTGATCCGTCTGTGCTTTCTCCACTATAGCATGCTTTCCGTTCAGAATCCTGCACATCGCTATCTGAATCATCTGGAGTATCTAAGTCAGCACTGCTACTGTCATCCGAAATTTCATCTATGAGGTTCCCAGGATCATACTGATCCAGATCATCTTGTCCCCTTTCTGAAACACCAACTTTCTTTTCAATAACTTTGTAACTCCTTTTGGCAGTCTCTACTCCGTGAATGTTTTTCATGTGCCTTTTCAGATATTCCTGCTTCTTAAAAATAGTTCCACAGTCTTCACATCTTATCTCAGATTTTTCTTTTACACAGAGAAGTAAATGGTTTTTCAAATCCTCCTCGCTGCCAAACTCCTTTTGACAGAGGACACAAGGCGTCACCAAACTAACTTCTTTTGTCTTCCTTGCTGTTACTTTAGTGAGAGGCATTTTGTACTGAAACAAGAATGAAACTTAATGGTTAATCTAACAATACATAAACATATTTAGTTGTATTATGATTATTATTATTTTTTTTTATCTTTTATATATATATATATAAATATACTGTACATATAAACATATGAATAAAGACTTTTATTTAACAATTTGTACAACAAAATCATCAAATCTAGCTGGAGGTCTTATATTTCGTTTTGGTCGGCACGACTCCTGTACCAACTCTTCAACTTCCTCAACATTTTCAACTTCAATTATATTTGTTTCATGTGCCTCACTGGCATCACATGAATCCTCTCCTCTCATCGATTGTGCAACCTTTTTCCTAAGTCTATCAAAATGAACTATTTGTGGTTGATTATTCCTACCACAGTCCACCTGGTATAAAACTTCAGACACTTTTCTTAAGATCTGAAAGGGCCCCCTCCAGAAAGAAGTAAATTAAGGTGTACAACCTTTCTTCTTTTGTGGAAAGTAAACATATACCTTATCATCTGTTTCAAACCGTTCCCATGACGTCCGGCGGTCATGATATGTCTTTTGTCTGACTGATGCACCGTCGGAGTATTTGCGTACCAAGGCATGGGCGTCTTCTAATCTTTCACGAAGTTCCCATACCCATATGTTTGAAGGGGTTGTTTTTATAGCTGGTGGCATGCAATATATCAAGTCTAATGGAGTTACGGTTTCCCTACCTAACATGAGAATGTTTGGGCTCATCCCAGTTGTTTCATGCTCTGTTGATCGGTAGGCCATCATTACGTACGGGAGTTGTTTGTCCCAGTCCCTATGATTGTCTGATACATAAGCACTGAGCATGTTTTCTAATGTTTGATTGAACCGTTCTACCATACCATCCGACTGGGGATGATATGGAGTGGTTCGAGTCTTTGTAATTCCTAAATGTCTGCACATTTCTTGAAACAATTTACTTTCATACTGCCTCCCTTGATCCGAGTGTATGTAATGGGGAACTCCAAATCTAGTAACAACCTCTTCAACGATGATTTTTGCAACAGTTTGTGCTTCCATGTTGGGCATTGGAAAAGCTTCCGTCCATTTTGTAAAGTAGTCCGAGACAACTAATATATACTTATTGCCATTTTCTGTTTCGGGAAGCTCACCTTAAATGTCTGTTGCAATTCTTTGCATTGGAACACCCGTTTTGACTAACTGCATTGGAGCCTGCTTCTTTTTAATTGGATGTTTTAGCTTCCAACATATTTCACATCCAGCAATGTATCGTCTTACGTCATTTTGCATGTCTGGCCAATAAAAATGTTGTCTAATTTTACTGAGAGTCTTTCTTACTCCTAAGTGACCAGATGTTTTAGTGTCATGACAAAAATGTAACACCTTCCGTCTTTGTTTTAGGGGTACAATAGCTTGTAAATAGGAAATATTACATTCATACATTGTCCACTTCCTACATAGTAAACCATCATTGATTGTTAATTTACCTAATTGACTGTATAGATACTGAACAGCGTAGCTCTTGCCTGATACTTCTTCAAAACTTGGTTTTCTGTCTGTTTCAAGCCAAGTCTTAACTTCTTGTATATCAGAATCGGCACTTTGTGCATCTTTCATGCTTAAATTGTCTTCAACATCACCATGTGATGTTTCCTTGCCTGATATAAGGCATATGATATTAGCATCGTCATCCTGATTTCCACAATTTGTACATTGTTTGCATGGCAAACGACTCAAAGGGTCTGCATTGTTATGTTTACGACCAGCTCTGTGTTGTATCTCCATATCAAAGGAAAATAGCACCTCAAGCCATCTCGCCATCTGCCCTTCAGGATTCTTAAAGTTAAGGAGCCATTTCAAAGAGCTATGGTCTGTTCTTATTGTGAATTTTCTGCCAAGCAGATAATGTTTGAAGTACGGTGTAAAACAAACAGCTGCCAACAGTTCTTTTCTTGTAACGCAGTATCTACTCTCACTTTTTGTGAGACTTCTGCTTGCAAAAGCAATAACTCTCTCATGTCCATTTTGTATTTGCGAAAGAACTGCTCCAATACTGTATGCGCTTGCATCAGTATCTAGAATGAAAGGTTGCTTGAAATCTGGATGTGCCAACACTGGTGCACTAGTCAAGAACCTTTTCAACTTGTCAAACGACCATTGACATTCATCTGTCCAAACAAAGATCTTACCCTTTTGTGTAAGGCTGTGTAAAGGTTTAGCTATGCTACCAAAGTTTTCTATAAACCGGCGGTAATAGCTGCAAAATCCTATGAACGATCTCAATTCTGTAACAGTAGTTGGTTCCGGCCAGTTTTTGACAACCTCAATTTTCTTTGGGTCAGTTGAGATCCCGTTTTCTGCAACAATATGACCTAAGTACTCTACCTGTTTTGCAAACAATTTACATTTTCTTGGTTTGAGTTTGAGATTTGCAGCCGAAAGTCTTTCAAAAACTAAACCAAGGTTTGTTAACATTTCATCAAAGTTTTTTCCGAAAATAATTACATCGTCCAAATATATTAAACAAACCTCCCATTGCAAGCCTGCTAGTACGGTTTCCATTAATCGTTCAAAAGTGGCTGGGGCGTTGCAAAGTCCGAACGGCATCACTTGGAACTGAAATAGTCCTTTCCGTGTTGCAAATGCGGTTTTAGGACGGTCATTAGCCTCGACTTCTACTTGCCAGTATCCGGAACACATATCAATAGTACTGAACCACTTTGCTCCGGACAACTGATTCAATGAATCGTCAATCCTAGGAAGAGGATATGCATCTTTGGTGGAAACCGTCTTTAACCTACGATAGTCAACACAGAAGCGTGTCGATCCATCCTTTTTCTGAACAAGAACCACCCCCGATGCCCAAGGACTTGTTGACGGTTCTATCACATTTTATCTTGCATATCATTTATAGCCTGATCATACTCTCCCTGAAGATGGTATGGAACTCTTCTAGGAGGTTCTCTTGTGGGCTTTGTATTTTGAACATCAATACTATGTTTCACAATATTTGTCCTTCCGAAGTCTGCGTCATGTTTGGCAAATATGTGTGAAAACTTTTGTAAAAGTTCTCGAACTTTGGTAGCCTCGACCTTAGTTAAATCCTGTACCGTTTCATTGTATAAATCTGTTAAATGTAAAGGGACGGGGGTTCCTGATGTTTGATTTAAATTAAACTTGGGTTCTGAAATTTTGTCAACCGGACTTACTTTAGCAATGATCGTTCCACCGTACAAAGTTTGAATCTGTGAAGACAAATTCATAAGTCGAAGTGGAATGTTTTTACTTTTTGCAACAAGAGCCCTACCTACTATTGCTTTATCACTTCTCTTATAGTCATCTGTAGGTTCAACAAGCCCTACTTCAAATGAGTCAGGAACTTCATCGGTTATAGCTCCATTCACAACAATCTCACTTCTAGGGGGTATGTTAACAGTTTCTGATATTGCAACTCTATAACAGCCTATGTGACCTTGGACATAAAATCTAACTTCATGTCCCTTGATAGTTAAAGTCCCCTTAGATATGTTTATGTTAGCTTCTTGTGTTCTCAAGAAGTCTAACCCTAGTATACAGTCTACATTAATGTCAGCAACTATGGCAGTATTTGTACATTTGAACTTGTCAGTTTCAATTTCAATTTCAGTTTTGCCTGACACATGCAACGAATCTCCATTAGCTGTAATTATATCCCTTTCAGTTGGAATTAGATTTGGCATATTTGACATTTTCTGAAACATTTTAGTGGAGATAACTGTAACTGTGGCTCCGGTATCTATTAACAAATCTGTGATAATTCCGTTTACCTTTGCTTTCAAGAACATACCTGCATCAGGAGATAGTTTATGAACCCCCACTTTTCCCGGTGTCGAATCTGACTTTCCATAGTTTTGGTTAGTATACCTTGTTTTAGGTTTGTTCTGATACCTAGGGTGCTGATAATTATATTGAAAGTTTGGATAAGTAGGACAATCAAATGCTCTGTGGCCTACCTCGTCGCAAGCATAACACCTGAATGGAAACGGCTGCGGGGCTCCACCCTGCTTCCAACCTTTATTGTTTTGTTTCAAGTCTCTCATTTCTTTTTGCAACTCTATTAATGTCTCCGACATGGTTTTCAAAAGCTGACTTGTCATGCTGTCAGCACTGTGTGTATTTTCAGACGCAGTTCGTAAAAATCCCTGACCTTCAATCCTTTTGCTTTCGGCTTTGTTGAAAGCCTCAAGCTCAACTGCATGTCTGATAGCGTCATTTAAATCAGTAGGTCTTGCCTGCTTTATTCGGAGCCTCATATCCGAATCTATTAACGAGTCTATGAACTGTTCTTTTGCCAAAGACTCCCGCACTTCGTTTGGTGCAGTTGCATATGCAAGGTTAGTTAACCTTCTTATGTCTTGGCCTAACTCAGGCAAGGTCTCTACAGCTCTCTGGTGTCTCTCTCTGAGCTGTGTTCTGTACAGCTCCGTTTGGTTAGACGGAGAAAAACGCTCTTCTAATGCCTTAACCAGTTCTTTGAAATCTTGTCTAGACTCCTGGGTTAAGTTTCCCAAAACACCTTGAGCCTGACCCCTGAGAGAAACGGCCAAATACAGACCTTTCTCTTTGTCCGTCCAATTGTTAATTTGGGAACATGCATCAAAATGTGACCTAAAGTCAAGCCAAGGGCCTTTCCCATCATAGGTAGCAGTCTTAACTATGTTCTTATTTTTGTATCCATCCAAAGGATAGGATTGTTTGTCTTCATAAGACCCGGTATCACGAGTTAAACCAGTTTTACTTGCTCTTTTTGTGACAAATTTGTCACTAATTGGTAATTGTAATTGGTCAGAAAAATGTTTCGAAGTCTGTTTTTCCGCAGCAGGTGTTGATGTTTCAAACCTGACTGAAGATCTAGGTCTGGCTCCTAAAAAACCGCCTCCGTTTTCACTACTTCTAACATTTTTTTCATAAATCGGGGAGTTTGTTTGTTTTGACAACTGTTCGGAGCGCCTGACTGAACCTATCCCAGAATCACTATGTCTAAAAACTGTTCGGGGTGTATCAACATGGGAAATTGATCTGTCGTAATTAACATGCCGATATTTTTCTAATTCAGCATTTAAAATATCTATTTCCTGACTTAACTGTTCCTCAGTTAAACTTATGTCAGGATCATATAAAACACTATCTTTCCTGTGTGAATTCATGATAAAATACAATTTATAGAAATGCTAGACAAATCCCACCGCTAAGCCACCATTTGTAACGTGTAACCGGGCGGGGACGTTTTAATATGTTTATCCTCGGGTTCGTACCAGTTTCCTGGGATTTGAAGAGCAATTTAAAAATTCTTA